GTTTTTGCTAGAAAAGTGTGCTAGGAGCCACGGTGGCGCAGTGGTTAGAGTGCAGCACTGCAGGCTACTTCTGCTGACTGCCGGCTGACTGCAATTTGGCAGTTCAAGTCTCACCAGGCTCAAGGTTGACTCAGCCTTCCATCCTTCCGAGGTGGGTAGAATGAGGACTCAGATTGTTAGAGGCAAGAGGCTGGTTCTGTAAACCTCTTAGAGCGGGCTGTAAAGCTGTATATAAGTCTTAAGTGCTAGTACTATGTGTTAATTCAGGATTTATTCACTCTTGTAATAATGTTGGATGCTTTTAAACACCTGTTGGTGTACAGTTTTATTTATGCCAAGCATGGCACTATTTTGAAAGAACCCCTGCTTTCAAAGTTTACTTGGTGTTATGGATGTTATAAATATAGTGAGGAAAGCATTGACAAATGAGTTATTTACAAGTCATACAGAACTAAAATGTCATCATTATGATAGGACCTTTTTAATCAGTTAAGCAACAGACTTCTTTAAATGCACTAGAAAAAAAGAAGTCCAACTTTTAGGAATTCTTCCTTTTCAGTTAGAAGATGGTCCACTTGAGCCTCATCTTTTATAACCCTGAAACAGATTTATTCAACGTAGAGCATTTTAGGAGCAACTGCCTTTCTAATCAGGATTGATTTATCTAGGCAGATCTGATTCAACAGAAATGTTTTTTTTAATGTATTAGGAGAGATTATTTAAAATGATCCATCTATCCCTTCATATCGGGTTTTGACTACTAGAGACTACCTGGAACACGTCCTGACAGTTTTCTTGGCAAAGTTTTCAGAAGTGGTTTGCCAGAACTTGCTGAGCATTTTCTAGAGCAGGGTTGAAGAATCTTTTTGGCAGTGACTGCCCAAACCGGAACATGCATGCATGTGAGCACGCGCACCGGAGCACCAGAAATCTGAAGACTAGCTGGCCAGCCCGCGCATGCCTGTATTTTTTGCTGGTTTTGGGGGGGCTTTTTCAGGGCATTTTTAACCTGAAAATACCCCCAAATCGCCTGAAAACGGCCTGAAAAACACGCTGTTTTTTGGGCTGTTTTCAGGCACTTGTGAAGTCCAGCTGGTTGGCGCACATGTCGGAAACCAGAAGAGCAGCTGGCGATGGCACATGTGCCCACAGAGAGGGCTCTAGATGCCACCTCTGGCACGCTTACCACAGGTTCACCATCATGGTTCTAGAGAGTGACTGGCTGATATTCCTTGAGCTGATTTTCTGCCTAAGAATTTATAGTTTCCCAGTGTTTTTAAAAAAAATCTCTCTCCCCCACCCCCATCAGTGATTCAATTATAATTCACTAAATCTTTCTCATGCTTGTGTTTTCTTTTCTTTCCTGGTCTTAGAAAATTTCATGGTTATGGCTCCCTGAGAGAATATTATGAACAAGAGAGTTGTCTGCATTACTTGCACAAAGTAAGTTTATCATAACATGTACTGAATATTTATCGCTTTGGTTCTGCGGTTTAAAGTGAAAAGAAAAAAATAGGGAGGGAGGGGGGAGAGGTCATTTTGTCTTGGAGTAGAAGATGGAGTGCAGCTTCAATGCATTTAAGAAAAGATGCAGGGGGATATTTGACCAAGCGTTTAATACAGGTGCTAGGATAATTCTAGGGAGGATTTGACAGGGTCGCCTTAAAAATTTACATGTTTTGTGGGAAGTATATGGTGACATATTTTATGGTAGAGTAAGGTAATGAAAATAGAAAGCAGCAAGGAAATTTTGGAACTGGAAATAAATTTGATTGGGTTTATTCTTTTCATATCCTGATTCAAACATCTGAGTAATTCATATGAAATTGTTTAGCACAAATTCCTGCCTATTTTCTGTGACCCCCATGATGGTATATTAGTAGTTGTCCCTGGAAAACATTAAAGTCAAATAGGATAGGACAGGATAAGATAGGATAGGGAATGGGATAGGGATAGAGTAGAGTAGAACAGAACAAAACAGAACAGGAATAAGAATAAGAATAAGAATCAACTGGAAGGGACCCTGGAGGTCTTCTAGTCTAGCCCCCTGCTCAAGCAGGAGAACTTATTCCACTTCAGAGAAGTGACCATCCAGTCTCCTCTTAAAAACATCCAGTGATGGAGCGCCCATGATTTCTGAAGGCAAGCTGTTCCACTGGTTAATTGTCTTCACTCTTAGGAAGTTTCTCCTTAATTCTGTAATACTTAGTAATATTGCAGTTCATTCACATCAAGTATGACTATTAATTGGCTGTTTCATGTGATCTCCCCCATCCCTTCTCAAGGCGGGGGGGCGGAAACTTGTGTAAGAATGGGAACACCACAAGGGTGTATTTGTGAATTAGATTAGATATAATTTTGGATATAAGTCTCCCTTTCCCTCGCCTTGGTTGAATACCTTAGGGCAGTGTTTTTCAAACTTTTTTGTGCAAAGGCACACTTTTTTCATGAAAAAAATCACGAGGCACACCACCATTAGAAAATGTACTGCCCCACTTCGGTGCTCGGAACACCGAAGGAGACGCGCCGCTGGTAACACTTACCAAGTTGACAGCATGCGTTCTCCTCGCTGCTCCGGTCCTCCGCGATTGTTGCTATGGGCGCACGCATGGGACGTCAGTGACGTCCCTGCGTGCACTACCTCCCGGCGGTCCCCATGTTTTTAAAGTAAACGCGGGGCCGCATGGACTTAATACAGGCATCCCTGTGTCCCGAAAGCAACTTTCGGGACACAGGGATGTCCCGAGGCAAAAACACCCGGCGGGTGTTTTTCCCACGGCACACCTTACACTATGTCACAACACACTAGTGTGCCGCGGCACAGTGGTTGAAAAACACTGGTCTATAAGATGCACAGACATTTCCACCCACTTTTGGGGGAATGAAAAAGTGTGTCTTATAGTCCAAAAAATATGGTACCTAAATTAGAGCCAGTTAAATAAGTTTGGGAAAAGGACCACTGTAAAAAGCTTAAGATTGTTGCAATAGTTAAAATCTGATCTCAGAATTTATATATCAATTTCAGGAGTATTCCAATGGATTTATTATACTAGAAAAATGTATTTAATAAACTAATACTGAACTCCTAAAATATATCCATCTTATATAGAGGTGGAGAACTTCCTGTTGGGTTCAGACAAAATCCTATAGGGCATTTTTGACAAAAAAAATATAAGGACATTCTTTATCCTTAGTGCCCCAATGACTATGTATTGCTATAATATATAGAAAACATTCACATCTGTCTGAAAAACAGGTGTACTGCACTATTGATGAAATCTCTTTCTTATTGTTGCTTTAGCTATGACTTAACTCTAAAAATGTGAGGTTAGATTGTGGAGTGGACTGGGAGATGATGACCATTTTTAGAAAATTTTCACTAGAGCCTAAATAAAGAAAAAAAAACCTCCAAATGTTGTCAGGTGTGAAGTTATCATCCATAAAACCTCAGAGAACCAGCAGCCAATGATCCATCTTATTTAGTTTCCTTTCTATCCACACGACTCAAGTATCTGAAATTAATTCTATTTCCAAAACATGTCAGTATGAACATTATATAGAATTTGTAGCTTTCTGTCCTGTATTCAGTATGCTAAAAACTTTAATGGCCACGATACCTATTTGTCGTCTTTTTTACAAATGAAATACATGATCAAGCAGGTGTCTCAAAGGTGCTTTTTCAAAAGGCACCTCGACTTTTTTTCCTTGAGGAAGAAGAAAATGTTTTGCTCCTCATTCAAGAAGCTTCATCAGTTGTAAATGGTGGAGGGATGAAAGGAAAGTTATTGATCAAGCAGATAATTTTCTTTTTTTCTACCATTCTTATTGTATACTCAAAATTTGTGCTGAGAGCATGGACAATTTTAAGAAAATGGGAGAAGACTTTTATGCTACTTTCTCCTCCTCCAAAGAGATTTCATCAACAGAGGTTTTTTTTATATCACCCAGATTCTCCTACATTAATTCTAGAACAAATATGCACATCTGAGCAACCAAAAAAACTTGTGAATAAGATGGAGTTAGCCACTTGTAAAACACATTTAGGAACCAAGAATTTGGTGACTCGAGAAGAGAACAACAGAAGCAAATGCTGTCTGTGCAAAGTAGACCACCTAGTTCGCTCCTGCAAGAAAATCGCATAAACAGACTAAAATTAACAGTATGAGAAAATAGATGTTTTGGGTGCAATCCAAAAAGAACTGGAGCACAAAAATCACCACCAGCCAATTGCAAAAAGCAGATTTACATGGTACAGCTTACATCCTATGTTGACACTTTAATACCATCAAACAATATCTGCCTATTTCATAAGGAGAAATTTCTCAACAATTAGAAGGATTAATCAGTGGAACAATTTGTCTCCAGAAGTTGTGGGTGTTCTAATATTGGAAGTTTGAGAGAAGAGATTGGACAATTATTTGTCTGAAATGGTATATAGGGTTTCCTGCCTGAGCAGAGGGCTGGACTAGAAGAACTCCAAGGTCCCTTCAAACTCTGTTATTTTATAATCTGTATTCTATCTCAGGTCCTTGGGAAGAACTCAGTTGGTGGATAAAAATGCCAAATCCAGGTCTAAACATTTTTGGTGACTGTGTGACAACCATAATAAATTAAACTTATATGCTGCCTGATTCTCAATGACTTGTTATATACATTAAGATTAGAAAGATCTTAAACTGTACTGATGTCATAGGACTAGGTTAAATACAAGTCAGAGTTCTCATATTAAAATGTTGGAAATGTCATCAGACGCCGGGCACATACTACCACATGTGGTGGACTTGTACCAAAGCAAAAAAAAAAAAAATGATATATAAACATATAGATTTAAAACCAGAACTCTTTCTATTGGGAATAATACCAGAAACATACAACAAGGACTTGAAATATCTGATTGTGAATGTTTTAACAGCTGCTTTGGTACAAGTCCACCACATGTGGTAGTATGTGCCCGGCGTCTGATGACATTTCCAACATTTTAATATGAGAACTCTGACTTGTATTTAACCTAGTCCTATGACATCAGTACAGTTTAAGATCTTTCTAATCTTAATGTATATAACAAGTCATTGAGAATCAGGCAGCATATAAGTTTAATTTATTATGGTTGTCACACAGTCACCAAAAATGTTTAGACC